GACAACAAGAGCAGAGACCCCACCCCCCCTCCTTCTCCTCCCTGTCAGCCCTCCTCACTGCACCGTCAAGACTCGGGGCCTCGGGGCATCAAGGGAATTTTAAAGAAAAACCGCTCCACCAGTGTAGAGTCGGACCACAGTGAGAGCTCCACCGCGGAATGTGCTCCAGCCCAACAAAGCAGCATCACCCTCAGCCACCCCGAGAGCGAAGAGGGACTGCAGGAGGAGAGTGAAGAGAACAAGGAGGAGGCAGAGGAGGAGATAGAGGAAGAGGTTGATCTCGAAAATGACGGAGAGGATGAGTCGCCAACAGATGATATCACTGATGGAAGGTGCTTCAGCATCGACAGGCAGCAGGGGGAGGGCAGCAGTGGTAGCAGTAGAGGGAGCTTTGAGGAGATGCGGAGTCCCTCACCTGATGAGAACCTGGAGATTACTTCCACGGTGTCTGAGGATGCTGAGGACCTGGACAGCAGTTTAGATGGAAGCCTGGGCTCGTCATTAAAACAGAGGTCAATGGATGTACATAAACACAGCATGCATAACTTTAAAGGCCTAAATGGATGTCATTTATCTAGAAAAGGGGAAAATCAAATGCATCTCACTAGTTGTTACAACAAATATTAAAATTAACCTATGACAAGGTGATATACTAAAAGAGAAGGAAGTGCAGTATTTGAATGTTTAATGCCAAGGTTTCCAGTTGAAATTAAGACTTTCAAAAAGGCATAGCAAAGGTACATTTGATGATACATTTTGAAAATTTAAAAAGAATGTGTTTTGCCTTTTTTAGACTGGCTGAGTTCAACAGTGGAGAAGGTGAGAACAAGGATAGATTGAAGAAGCCCAAGACGACCGAACTGATCCAGACACCACTGGCTGATCGCTTCACTAAACTCCAAGATGCTGAAAATGCCTGGAAGAAAAAGGTTAGTGAGTTTTGTTCCCCCCCCCCCTTTACACTTCCTTTAGGTCATGGAGTTAAGTAGATTTTCATTGCAGTGCATTGTTTTTCTATGAAGCATCAACTGTAGTATTTTGAGGCAGGTAAATGGGTAGTAATGAGCAGATACTGCCATATGTTGAGGCTTCCCCTCAGCATTGTGCATAGGGAGAAAAAGGTTTGGATATGGACTCTCTCTCTCTCTCTTCTTCTGCTGAATGATTATTTCTCTAATTTTCTGCCAAGAGCGTGCGAAGTTAGGAGGGCTTGAGGTCGCAGCAGATTTGAGAGTAGTGATGCCAAAGGCAGCGATCCAGGGCTTTAGCTGGCGTCCCAAAGAAAAAGAGACACACCTCCTTTCCCTTGTAAAAATAAAATCCTACACTATGACCAAACACCTGCAAGCCTTCCAAGCTAATGTGTGCTTCCTTTGTTTCTCCTCTTCTCAAAGTAATAATAAAAAAAAAAAAAACAATTCCCTCCATAAACAACTTAATATTCTTCATAGACTTCTGTCTCACAATTGTATATAAACATAAAAGATGTGAGGCACATGCTTGGATAACTGATGGTGATGAAAGTGCATGCTGGGTTCTGCATGCTCTTCTAGTCAAACATGACCGCCCTTGTTGGGGTTTCAAGTGGAAAAACAGCACTGCACTATAAAACAACCATTTGATGGACTCTGTGCAAGTACAGACTGATACTGCAGGAGGGGAAAAACCATATGTGTGGCTCATGGGCATCCTCAAAACAGTCCTTTTGACTCTGAGATTGAAGTGATGTCATGTTTATTTACACTAAGCATCTCTCTGGTTTGATGTCCTTCAGGGGATATCTGGTTCGAGTTCATCCTTTATCCAGCAGTGGGCCAACTTTAGGATAAATCTACTCCTAGTCTGGAAAAAGACAAAAATTTGGACAAATCCCCAGTCAACAAAGTATTGAAAAGTGGTGTCATTTTACATTTGTGTGGTGTGTCTTCAATATGATACATCAACACAAAGTCCATAAAAATTAAGTGGAATTCCATTAATGGCACTAAATTTTATCCTCAACACTCACACTCATGAAGAAAGGCCAAAGTCATGTCCAAAACATCTGCGGCTTTCTTCCTTAAATTCTGTCTGAGGTTATTGCCTATGAATTGGTGTGGAACCTGCTGTGTACTGTGGCTGCTCCTGTGCAGCTCTGGCTGACATCAGAGATAATGCGTAGTTTGGCTTAATTACCGGCATGGATGCCAGGTCTGCATTGGCTCTGGGTAATTTACTTACATGTGACAATTCGTGTTACATTTCTGTTTATTTCTGTGTGATGGCCGTCAGTTTTCATGTCATTTTGTTTCATGTAGTGCCAAGCTGGAGCAGATGTTGTTGCTCGTTGATTGATATGTGGGAGACCAGGGAATGTAACATGCATGGTACAGTTGCACACCATGGTCATGTCCAACCAGCTCCAGATGTTTCCTGTTAAACCTGCTAAAGTGTTCTTGTGTGTTGTGTTGTCAAGTGAGGCCTTGTTGTAAACGTAATTTAAATTGGGTTTGTCATGGCTCGAATAATGATTGTTAGTCTTAAGTTTCATTGACTGTTGACAGTATGTCAGCAGTTAATGACTAATAGTATCAAAAAATAAACTGCTGCTTTTTGGTATTAACATGACCTTTACAAAATCCTTACTGATGCTCTTCAGGATTTGCTAGATGTGTGGGTTTTGTTCTCCAGCAATGATTTATTGAAGACTAGTTGGCATCTATCCATCCATCCATTTTTTTCCACTTATCCGGGGCCGGGTCGCGGGGGCAGCAGTCTAAGCAAAGATGCCCAGACCTCCCTCTCTCCAGACACTTCCTCCATGCCGAGGCGTTCCCAGGCCAGCTGAGAGACATAGTCCCTCCAGCGTGTCCTGGGTCTTCCCCGGGGCCTCCTCCCGGTGGGAAATGCCTGGAACACCTTCCTAGGAAGGCGCCCAGGAGGCATCCGAAAGAGATGCCCGAACCACCTCAGCTGGCTCCTCTCGATGTGGAGGAGCAGCGGTTCTACTCTGAGCTCCTCCCGGGTGACCGAGCTCCTCACCCTATCTCTAAGGGTGTGCCCGGCCACCCTGCAGAGAAATCTCATTTCGGCCGCCTGTATCCGGGACCCAAAGTTCATGACCATAGGTGAGGGTCGGAACGTAGATTGACCAGTAAATCGAGAGCTTCGCCTTATGGCTCAGCTCCTTCTTCAGCCATAAGTTGGCATCTGTCAACAGAAAACACTGATCCTAATGCTTCCCAACAGGAACTCCACTCCAGTAAGACTTATAATCAGTTGGAAATATCGTCCCTGGTGTGTAGAAAATGTATTGGAGGTAATAAAAATAAAGATTGGTTTATTATCTCCATTATGGTGCAGGAATAATTATAGCACCATCCTTGGAGAGTCGGGTTTTTTTCTTTAAACAATAACTCCACCTTTTGGCATTATCACTTGATTACAACTAAACCATGAAGTTAGTTTCATGGTATCATGAATTGAGATATATATATAGATATAGATAGATATAGATGGATAGATATAATATAGTGTTGCTTTCAGTTTATGGTCTTTGCTCACTCATCACTGTTATAAACAGTCTTTTTCCTTTTCCCTTTTTCTTCCATCCTCCAAAACTTGATGCCAGGCTTTATGTGACCCATGTCTGTTGTATATGCTTCTATGCTACAGCTACAGCCTTCAAGCTGCTGTGATCTAATGCTGTGCTTTTTATCCTCCGTCTCCTCTGATTATTTTCCTTTCCTCTTCTCCTCTTCCTACTTTCCCTCTTTTTTTCACCTATCTTTCCAGTTTCTTCTGTTCTCACCTGCAGACTCTACCCTTTTCTTTGACTTTGACACCTGCCTGTCAACCCTTCCCCATCCCTACCGGTGAGTATGGGTCTCTTTGCATAGGCGCCTCCTGTGCTCTAGGCATTCACTCACAATCTCAAAGGATTGCTCCTGAGAAGTCAGAGCTGTCAACATACTTGCTGTTGCTACATGAATGGTGGTTTGCCGACCCTCATTTGGTCGATATCTGTGTCAGTGGTTTGGCTGAGGGGCTGCCTGCCCCGTACAGTATGACAGGGCTGAGAAAAATGGTTTCCTTTGTGGGTTGGAGGCTCAGACCCTTCCCTGTCCCGTCAGGCCAAGGTATTCCCACTCTCTGATTGACTGCAGAGATGGGCTGCTGGCTGGAGGGGCATAAGTGTGTGAGAGTGCCCCAGGACTCTATAAGATGATAGATGTTATAGTTTGTTTTGCAGTAGTAGTATTGTGTTAAGAGACTGTAGTGTTTAAGAAATTGGAAATTGTGTTTTTGACTGTTGTTGTTGACTGTGAGTTGGCGCCACAGATGGCTGCCATCGGTTCTGTACCGGAAACAAATTCCTTGTGTGTAACTTACTTGGCCAATAAAGGTGATTATCCTTATCCTTAATAGTTTACAGGTACAAGGTTTATCAGTACAAATAAACTTAAGACTCACATCCTCACTCCTGCTACATTCAGGACATGTATGTGCAGAAACAATGCTGAAGATGTATCATGTATGAAATCAGCAGGAGGACATTGATGTTCAGCTCCAGTATGCCATCTCTGTGCACACCAATGTGATTAAAAGTATTTGTCAGAAAATGTTTGACATTAGACTACAAAGAAAAATCTGTTTGCCATTTGTACCTTTTGCAGCTGAGTGAGAAACGGACAAAAAGGAAGAGAGGGTTTGGCTTGTTTGAGTGGAAGATTGTGTTTTTTCCATTTATCCAGTATATACCTTTTGTATATTGCAGCATGTTTCACATTTATTCAGGACAAACATGTTGGATTATTCAGTTATTTAAATTTTGGAGGATGGAACTTTTGACCTTGTAGTCTCAGTATCTCCAACTTCTGCTTTTTCTTTCTTCTGCTTTTCAAGCTTTTGATTTTTACCAGTTTAATTCAAACCTGCATTGCTTCTCTGTCAAAATGAGTCTATTTAGCAATACAAGTTGTAAGCAATGTAGTAGTGATTACTGTTTTAATTGGTCCACAAATTAATGCATTTTTTAAAAATGTATAGTCGGGTCTGGAGTTTCATAACAAGGAAGCATGTCACCCATAGCAGTGGTGTGTTTCCTTGATGTGTGTTAGATTGTTTTTGAACAACAAGGGAAGGGCGATCTATTGAACAGACAAACAAGTTAATCCAGGACTGATAGCTGACGGACATTAACAATGAGGCAATGCGTTGTCAGTTTTAGTCTCTGTATGGGGAATGCCTAAAATACTATTAATATAGAAACTGACCAGCCTCATCCTTTAACACGTTCTTTCCATGCCCGTGTCTGAACTATTTACACTCAGTAAAAGATGGTGTCCTTGAATAAGGAAACCTCCTCGAGGAAGAAACCGGACGTACTTAATATCATTATTTCTGTATTTTTTCTTTTTTTTTTTTTTTTCTCCCATGTAGAAATAAATTTGATTATGCTGGGTACACATGTATCATGTTTAATACTATGTAGATAAACAATACAGGCCTGGAGTTTGATTTATAGAAAATAAGGTTTAAATTACAGAACGGACTACTTATTTTGCAAAGAGATGCTTCCTGTGCTAAGGCTGTGCTGACATCAGTCTGGCTACACTTCACCACTTCAGCCAAACATCTTTTTCTTTTTAGCACTGCTTACATCTGTGAATGTTTAAGTTGACTCCTCAGAGTTGCAGCATGACAGTCAGCAGATCGCATGCACCATCGTTCATCCACAAAGAAAATTTCTCTGACTGTAACAAGCTGTTTTGGTTTTGGGAATCCCAGCCATTTGGTTGTCATTTACTTTAATTTCTTGCAGTACACACTGTCCTAGAGTTTCCCTCGTATAAATAAAAGCTGTACGTTAAAGAACACTCACAGCACCGCAAAGGCACATACTGTAAATACATGAAAGAACCAACTGTGTAGAGTTTGTGGTGTTAGTTTATTTAGCTGTTGTTTTCATCATACTGTTTTTCTGCTAGCAAATTATTTTCTGTGTGTGTTTCTCCTGTGCAGTCATGTGGAAATAGATCTGCCTTTCCAAGACTGAGCTGTGTAGTCACTGCTCATGGTACGTTACACACAGTGAATTGCTCATTATTAGCGAGGGAATATGGGGTGGCAGCCAGCAAAAACCCAGACTGCTCCCTAAAAGTGGAAAGTGGAATATTATTAATTACTGTAACACAGCTCCTGGGATCCAGTGCGACCACGAGAGCTAGTAAACCTCTGCTAAATTATTTTTAATAGTGGAGTTCAGGTGCAGAAATGGCAGCTGGAGTAAATCACCTAAGGAAGGCTCTGCTGAACTGTGGGTAATAGATGGCCTTGGTGTACTGTATAAACAGGGATTTTGGTGTTTTACTGTCAGGACTCAACATTCTTCATGCTTCTTGATTTAAAAACTAAAGTTTGAATAAGGCACTTAAAACTTTTGTGGAACCAGTTGTTTTTGGACTCGTCCAGAAATTCTTAGAAGGTTGCGGCATCTTTCATAATACCCTGTTAAATTCATTTCAGCCTATGCAATTGCTTCTATGTCTTCACCAATAGTCTCTCATCCTCATATGACCTTTCTTGCTCACTCATGTTTACTTCACCGTCCTCACAACTGTCTGTTCCCCATATGAAATAAATAGCCAGTAGATTGGCCCTCACAGATTTAAACGTACTAATCTGAAATAAATTGCATTTCCAACAGAAGGGCGGTGTAGATGTGGAGCCCAAGATGTCACTGGCAGAGAGGATGAAGATCCTTAAAGAGAAGGAGGAACAGTGGAAAAGCAAAGGCAAGGGAGCGGCCAACGACTCGGTCCAGTTCACTGTGGTTGGACGCATGGCCAAGAGAGGTAAAACTACAGGGTGTTTATCCAGTGTGGCTAGACACGAGTTGAGCTAGCTGACGGCTCTGCTGTGATAGGCAAAATCAGGCTTGCTACTGCATGACTTCTGCATTCCACACACGTTTCCCTTTCCTACACTTTGCCTTTGTTTAGAACCTTTAACTAAACCATTGCATTTTGATACAAATAATCCTTGCAGCCTTCACAGCATAATGTAATTTTATGTTTGATTCACCATACACAGGCACTTGGCGTACATTAGTTTACACAAAGCACATATGATTTTTGTGGGATGCATCCAAATACTGTATGTGTCACCCCTGAAGCTGGGATTTCAAAATGGTTCCTCTTTTATGCTCCACCAGGTCTTGTATCAGACACAGGAAAGGAAGAGTCTCCTCCCGTCTTTCTCAAGAAGTCAAATGCCACACCCGTGAAGCCGCTTGAAGGTACACTCAATCTATAGTCACTGCGTGGCTCATTCAGTGAAGATTTCAGTTTATACAGATGCCTTGCTTTAAACAGACAGGCATATCAGTTAAGATATGGTGAATATTTAAAATGTATTGATACTTGAACTAGATTCCCATGGTCTTGTGCGTCACAATGGGCCACTAATTCCAGATATTCATGTAAATCTTTTTAGATATTTTAGTAGGATTTAATGATAATGCCTACAAGTAAAATTGGATTGAATGCCTAAACAACTAATGCCAAGTTAAACTGTTTGTTTCTGTTGGACAGAAATCTCTAGTAGAACTGATGTCAAGGTGGAAGGGGATAAACGGCTCGACAAGCTCGAGTCCTTCCTCGACAAGCTTCAAAATAAAGGTGCCACTATTTGTCTTTTGCCATGGTTGTGGTTTTACAGGAGATATGATGATTGTTACTCATTGAGTTATGGGCTTGTATTTTTTATTAGTTATTTATATTTGTTTAATCATTTAGTTTCAGTTTAAAAGCAGCAGTGAATGAGAACATCACACCTAATTCATAGATGACTCTACACAGAAATGAGTGTTATAGTGTGTTCAAGCCCACAGGACAAGATCTCCAAAACCTTTTGTTTACAACTGAATCACCTTACTGTGACCTCATCTTTGTCCTGTTTACCAAAATTGCAGTTGAACACAAACACATCATTAGCAAGAGAAAGGTGATGTGTAACACTTCTTCATCCTTCCTGTTTCTTGCCATGATTGGTGGTTTAGGTGGGAACAAAAGCAAGACCTCCACGATTGAGGTGACAGCAGAGACGGAGAAAGAGGTGATGACCCTGGATGATCAGGAGACATTCGGCAGCTTCTACAAGCCTGTGTCACCCTCGACACTCCAGGACACTATTCTGGTTGTGACTGAGGAGGACCTGTGCCAGATCCAGGCCAATGCACCCAAGTTAGTTTCTAGTAATCATAAATGAATAAGTGGCCTCTTATCCTTATTCAGAACATTTCTGGTACCTTACTGACAGGAGTGTGCAATTTCTTTCTTTTTTTATTGGTGTCTTTAGGCTCACCTCAGCTGTAGCAGAACACAGGCGAGCAGTGCGCCCAGCCCGGAGGAACCAGGGCTCCAAGAACCCTCTGCGGGCTCTGGCTGCCCGCAACGACATCCGGCAGGTCTACACCGAACAGAGACTTAATGTAGCCACAGTGGAGACCAAGAGGATCCAAGTGGAGAGGAGTAAGACTGCTCAAATGTACCTACTGTAGCACTGATCACTTTAGTTCTCCAGCTAGAATCAAGAGTCTTAGATGGCTCAGCAGCTCTGAAAGACCATCAAGAGTCATATCCACACCCAGAACCTGCTGTATATTGACATTGTTAATATAAATCTTTGTATACATGCAGCATTATTCTTCAGATTTCTTCCTTGTCTCTGACCATATTTGGGAACCACTGCCTACTTATTTTAAGTGTATTCTAGTGTTACAAGATGCTGCTTCATGATTTTTTTCTTTTTAGTGGTTATAGAAGTTACTTGGTGTAAGTTTCAGTTTTAGTCAGACTTTGAATAATTTTTTTTTAATATAAGGAAGCAGCATCCTTTCATCCTGCTGCACTGCTGTCATAGCAATACTAACTCTGGCTGAAGTCTCCGTGTCTAGGCTACCTGTACATGTAGATGTGGCCTAAAAATCAGCTTTTTCTAGGTGAAATTCAGGTGGTAAATTTGTGTCATCAGACTAGCCTGACCTCAGTGACTTCACATTTTACAAAGGGGGAAGCAAGTACCATAAAAATATATATGGTGTCTAGTGTTGTTCATATTACGAAATTAAACCAACACTTCCGGTCTGTGCTGAAGCTTTCTGTTGATTTAAAACACTTTATCTGTGTTAGTTGATAATTGTGACACTAATCTTCTTGTTTTTTTTGTTTTTTCTGACACCTAGTGGCAAAACACTCCAACCTAGCTGATGTGGCCTTGGCAGGCCTCGCCAGCAAAGAAAACTTCCGCAAGGTCAACCTGCGCAGCGTCAAGTCCACCGATGTTGTGACCAACAACAGCACACTGCCTTTCCACAAACTCATGCTTATTCGCATCAAAGGTCAGAAACACAAGACTGTGTTTGTGTATGGTGGCCTGTTACCCACAACTGTTTAAATAGCTGCAAATGGAAAGTCTCAAGTCTGTTTTTTGTTATTTTAAGTTAATAAGCCACAGAAAAAGAATATTTATTTACAGATCTGTTTGAGTGTTAAATGTTTCAGGCTGTTAGTCTGGTTGAAAGGAGTACAAGCTACTTTGTCGTTGTCTGTAGGTCGGAGACATGTCCAGGTGCGCCTGGTGGAGCCCACAGCCCGCTCGCTAAACAGCGGTGACTGCTTCCTACTCATAACCCCAAAGCATTGCTTCATGTGGAGCGGAGAGTTTGCCAACGTCATTGAGAAAGCTAAGGTAGTGAACCTCCCACACTGAACACAAAGTTTTATATTTGGACACTTCAGAACTAGCACTGGCATGTCTAGACTGGAGCTGGTACATTTTTTTATAAACATCAACAAAAAAAAAGCCTGCAGTGAGAAACCCACTGGATTGTTATATTTAATGCTTTAGTATATCCAGGTTTGAATGAAGAAATGGATTATAAACAGCCTGCTTGATGGAGATATTGATGGTACTGCATCATACTGTAAACTTGTATGGAATCCTTTTATTAATATTTTGATATAGTTGTTTTCTCTGTATCTGTATGTTTCATTATGTGATTCTATGAGCTTTATTCTTGGTGCATTGTATAAACAGGTGTAAACACTTTTTACTGTTTGTGTACTAATGAAGAGGTTGAAAGTGGCCGTTGTTTTAACCAAGATTCCTGACTAAATAAAGACTCATCCTTCCATCAACTTTCCATCTATGTATTGTAACAAGTACTTTTTTGCCTTGTTTGAACAGACGTCAGAGATGGCTTCGTTTGTTCAAGCCAAGAGGGACCTTGGATGTAAAGCCCCCCAGGTGACAGTGCTGGAGGAGGGCATTAATACTGAGAGCAAAACGGCCAAAGAGTTCTGGAGCCTGCTGGGAGGAAAGACTAAATACAGGGGTACATACACATATTTGTGCACACTGAAGGACAAATACCAACAGACTCTTAACTGTTCACACACCCATGAACACCTCTCTGTCTGTGCCCCTGCCTGTTTGTCTCTGCTGGATACATGTTCAGAAACCAAGTGAGCTTATACTAGGGTATTTTTAATGAAAGGGAGAGAGGATTATCTGTATAACCACTCACTACCCTCCACATACACTTGCCCTGCTTTTTTGTACTATGTATGTCTGTGTTTTATAGGAGCAGGGGAGCCAGACGAGGATGAGCTGTATGAGAGCGGGGTGTTAGACTCTAATGGGGTGTACAAACTCCAGGGAGATAAACTAGTGCCTCATGAAGACGCCTGGGCCTCCATTCCAAGTGTGTCCTTGCTCAACTCTAAAGAGGTGACGCCACTGTGAGAGTAACAAGTTTGGAAAACAAATGTGATAAAGTCTGAAAAAGGATTGTATAAAACAATAGTTCAAATTGATATTTAAAGAGACATTTGTTTCTGTTGTTTTGCAAATTGTAATAACTGTAACAACACCCTAAACTTACTCTCCTCCTACTGCACACTAGGTCTTCGTGTTTGACTTTGGCAGTGAAGTGTACGTATGGCACGGAAAAGACGTACCCTTGGGTGACAGAAAAGTAGCTGTCAAACTGGGTAAACAGCTCTATAGCGGCAGCTACAACTATAGCAACTGCAGAGTCAACCCTTTAGATGCCTCCTGCACAAATAAGGACATGCCTCAGTGAGTATCACATGATAACCTTCAACACCTTCATAGGTGTTTAGCACATTTGTAAAAGAAAATTGAGATGCACTTTTTAGAATATATTTTAGCCATTTTGGTTGCCTGCTTTATACTTGATTAATGTGGTTTTATGATTTTAAAGTGGGCATGAATGGACAGCAAAGTTTGTAAGATTATTAGTTGTGTTATTGTAGCACCTAGTGGTTTTATCTTGCCAGTACAGCCATTTGTGTGTGTGATATCCAGGCAGGGGGAGGGTCGTCCAAGCTGGGCTCTGTTTGGCCGACTGTCAGAGCACAATGAGACTTCCCTGTTCAGAGAGAAGTTCCTGGACTGGGCAGAGAGGAAGAAAGATGATGCAGCTCAGGCTGAGGAAATCAAGGTAGATGAGTTTAGATTTACTGTAGGGTGTATGCATTTTCAACATATCATTAGCAGTGGCTCTGTCTTCATATAATCTGTGACAGCTTTCATAATATTTTTCTATTTCTTACTTTCTGTGGTCTGTTTTAAGAGGAAACATTGTTCTGCTGTAGCCCTTCAGTTAATGAATATACTGAGTGAAGTAACAAATGTCTGTTCAGAGTCCAGACCACTCCACTGTACGCTGCCTGCTCGACTTGGACCTGCAGCCATGTGACGCCAAAGCCCTGCTGGACAATGAGCCGGAGCCAGTGAAAACCATTCTGGAGGGGGTGGATGTTCAGCGGGGTCATGGCCTGGTGAGGACAGAGGATGGGAGGCAGGCAGACTTGGCAACAGTAGGTGTAGATGCATGGCACATCAAAGAGTACAGTGAGGAGGAGATGCCTAAAGAGAGCCTGGGCCAATTACACGAGGGCGACACCTACATCATCCGCTGGAAGTACTCTATTACTACACTGGGTGAGTGATGGTTTTGGCATAGAGGTAGCCTGAAGAATAAACAGTGGCCTTGTGAAACAGGAAGTTTGAATAGAATGAGGAATTTGTTAAACCTTATAGAAGAATAATTTCAGGAGAAATTAGTGTCTGTCTGACTTGAATTACTGAAACATTTAGCAATGCATCTGTTCGGACAGTACATGTACAGTGCTGTATGTGTGGCAAACATATCATTTAAAAGCTCAGGAAAGACTCAAATTGACCTGGTTGAAAGAAGTTTTAATTTTATATTGTAGGGTTATGGCTGTTCAAAAGTGGAAGAAAAAGTCCCCATTGTATCCACTGGTTTTATTTTCTGTTCTGTTTTGTTAGTGGGGAAGCGGCAGAAACCTGGGGAGCTGTGTGCTGGTGCTCCTGGAAGAGAGAGAACGGCTTGTTTCTTCTGGCAGGGCCGTCACTCTAGCATCAGTGAGAAAGGAACCTCTGCTCTCATGACGGTAGAGCTTGGCAACCACAGGGGATCACAAGTGAGTATCAGTTCATCACAGGAGCAAAATGTAGTACGTTTGTTTTGTTTTTTTAATGAGGGCATAGTTCCTGTTCTGCAGTGAAAATTTGCTGATGCTACTTAAACAAATTCACCCATCTTTTCATTTGTTCACCCTATATAAACACATAGATACATTAATAATTAAGTTTTAATCAAAGTGAGTCATCATTTTGCTGTATCTGATTGGCTCTAGGTGTTGGTGAGTCAGGGAAAAGAGCCTCCGTGCTTCCTCCAGCTCTTTCAGGGAGGTTTGATCATCCACAAGGGCATCAGAGAAAATGGTGCCAACAACACAGGTAAAGAAACACTACTGTCATCAGTGATCAGTGATTCTCTGTGTTACTGCAGATTGATGTAGAGGCTTTCGTTCACTGTAAATTATTGTCAAACAGCAAGTTTTTGTCTGCCTGTTTTCAGGTGGCTGGAGGTTGTTCTGTGTCCGTGGTGAGGCAGAGGTGGAGGCCACACTGGTGGAGGTGGATTGCCAGTGTGCCAGCCTGCGCTCACGTGCCAGCCTAGTGCTGCTTAATGCTCAGAAAGGCCATCTCTACTTGTGGCATGGCTGTAAAGCACAAGCCAATGCCAAACAGGTGGCTAAAATAGCTGTGGACAAGCTAACCCAGAGGTTAGACGTACGGATGGATGGATGGATGGATGGATGGATGGATGCACACATGGCTCATGCTATGGGCCAACAGTTTTTTCTCTTTTTGTCTATAAGGTGTCCCTCAGAGTTGGGTCTGAGTAGTACCAGCAGTGTTAGAGTTGAAGAAGTGGAGGAAGGGGCTGAACCCCCAGAGTTCATGAAAGCTTTGGGCCTGCAGGACAGGAAGGCCTATGACTGTATGCTGCAAGGTGCATCCTCAGACTCAACTTAAAACTACTCTCAAATTATAAGTAAGAAAGTTCAGAAGTGACTACTGCTGTTCTGTGTGTGAGCGGATGTGTGTGTTGCTTCCAGATCCAGGGAAGTACAACTACACACCCCGACTGTTCCGGCTGAGTGCCAGCTCTGGGGTGTTCGACGGGGAGGAGCAGCTGTATCCCGCCAGAGTGACAGAGGGAGTCATGGCAATGCCTTTCCTGCAGGAGAATCTCTACTCCACACAGCAACCAGGTATCTTCAACCTAGAGCAATTCAGTGTTTCAGTGAATTATAGGATTATTATTTGTCTGATGTTTTAGACACATGAAACTAAAATGTTCGTTTTTTTCAGGAACACGCAGTAAAACTGCTTCTGATACGTTGTCATAGATTTAAGGTTTAAGAGTCAGTACTAGTACTGAAACAGAAATGTATCTATAATGTTTGGCCCTTGCTTGACAAAGAAGACACAACAGTTGGAAAGTATTTATTCACTCAGAACAACTTCTCTTAGGTCAGGTCTCAGTGACTGAACTATAAATCCCACTATCATATTTTGTAGCTTTGCCCCCTTACTGTATAGGTCATTCTCCAACATAAGTGGTGTATATTATTTTTGGGACTTAATATGCAGCCTTCTAGGACTTGCAACAACTAAAGTGCTGCTACAGAGTATGCACTAAGTGTAACTCTACCACCTCATGTTATTACTCCTCCAGCCCTGTTCCTGCTGGATAACCGTATGGAGGTGTACCTGTGGCAGGGCTGGCAGCCTGAAGACACCCAGTGCACCGGCTCGGCAAAGATGCGCTGGGACATGGAGAGAAAGTGTGCCATGGAGACTGTGCTGCGCTACTGCAAAGGTCGGACATCCTGCAGCCACTGGCAATTAAAATTCTAGAATTGTTCCAGCAGAGCACATTATCTAGTCCTCCAGATAATTTTATCTCTTTTTTTTGCTGCCAATATTTTTAGCACATTACTGCTCCTATGCTGTAGATAAGCTGGACTCAAACTAGGGCACTGAATTTTTAAACCTTTTACTCAATACTGGTGTGTGGTATGATTGGCAGAGAAAAATCATCGGCGTCCCCCTCTGGCCTATCTGGTCCTAGCAGGCTGTGAACCCCTCACTTTCACCAACATCTTCCCGTACTGGGAGAAGGATACCAGTATCAGCTCAATGGTGGGCCACTCTGCTGGGGTTTAAACCAGTGTCACTTCAGCCTCACTCAACTCTTTCTACAAGAATGATCAGTTTGCATATATTATTTAAATATGTTATTTTAGATGTACAATTCTAGCTCAGTATCTCAGTGTTGTTGACCTGCTGTAATTTTTGTGCAGAGCAAGAGCTCCAAGAACAAGGTGATCCTAGTGCAGGAGGCACTGTCTGAGCTCAGCAGGCAGCAGTACTCCATTGAGGAGCTGACCAGGAAGCCACTGCCAGAGGGAGTGGACCCTCTACGCTTGGAGGATTACCTGTCTGACCAGGACTTCAAGGTAGGACACTAGAGACTGCAGAACAAAATCATGAGACTTAAGGTTTATGGTTTTGTAAGGCCATTCTAATTATGTAATTCCAATTAATTTTGTGCAGTGTGTTGGAGTCTGACTTTAATCTCACACTTCTGACTTTTTTTAAAGTCAGAACTTCTTACAGTGGCCCTAATCATCTTCTGTAAGTGTGTGAGGGCTTCTTTTCATGGAAAAAAAAAGCAGGCAAATGAAAATATGATAAAATCCCAATAAAAGTGTTACGGACTAAAAATAAAAGCTGAAAATGTAAACAAACAACAAAAAGTACCACATCTTACATACATACTGAAAAACACAGTCTGTAATTCACTTAAGTCCAAGTCCATAAAACAAGAGGGGCCGCTCCCCTCTCACACACACAGTCAGCTGTGTGTTTACCACTGTACATAAAAACTTGACAAACCCACCATGATGTCAGCCATTGGTTTTCTGAAGAGCGGGTTTAAAGCTCAAGTCCTGACTGTCACCACATTGGTAGCATTTCATTCCTCCTGCTGCTTAAGTCCATAAAATAACTTATTACAGTGTATCGTTACAAAGTATTGTCATATACGACCACTTATGTGACATTCGTTGTCCTACTATAACTGTTTGCAGACACTTCTTGAAATGAGTCGAGTGGAGTTCAACGCCCTGCCAAACTGGAAGCAAAAGAATCTGAAGAAAAGCAAGTGTCTGTTTTAAACTAATATTTTTGTACACAAACTTTCCTGTTTGATATGTTCTAAGCAGCTTTACTTAGGTTTTCTATTCTAAGAAAAATGTCCTCCATTTTGTATAAAGAAAAGCAAATGTACAATTTTATTCAAGCACCAAGCTATTTTAATAATATCAGCTTAATGTTTCCATGTATTGTTAATATATCAGCCAACAATTATGTGCAATTGTTAATCATTTTGAAAATAAAATGTTTTCATTGTATGGTAAAAAAAAAAAGTTACCCTTTCAGTATAAATATGTAATATACTATAAATGAATGTTTTTATGTTTACTCCAGACATTTTGTGGGAGAATATGTTTACCTGTGGTTTAAAACTGAGGCAGTGTTCCATCGCTTTTCACATGTCCTGAGGAAAAACCAGTTGTGGATTAAATTGTTCAGAAAAAATGTCTACAATTTGAGGCTGACAAAGAGCAGAAGAAAAGCTAAACACATCAAAGTTAAGAAAACAATCGCTGTAATCCACGGTCACACTAGCAAAACGTGAGGATCTCAGACCAAGATTGTATTGTCGATATTTGACATCTCGTGCTATAACATAAAGATTCAATGTTTATCTTTTTTTTTCTTTTCTACTTCTTCTTCTTTGCAACAGAAAGTGTGCAGATATGGGTGTCACACAGTAAACTCCAAAATCTCAAAGTTGTTTATCAGGTATCGTGACCTTGTGAAGAGCAAAACCTGAAATTTTAAGCACGAAACTTTGTCTCCTCAGATATTAAACACTGATAAATTGACTGGCATTGAAACTGACCCATCATAATTTTTCAAGTTGGATACGAAATCCTACCTGGTTCTCATGATCAACTGCCTGTGTGCCAGTGATGGCAGCCCCTCTGATAGACCGGTTGTTTGGGACCCAAACTAATCTTTTTTGTCTTTGTCTAAATGGTTTTATTTTGTGAATCTGTGTATTTGTGGAAGTGTGCATAAATGTTCAACTTGTAAAAAAAGTATTAAGGGTGTATGTAAGACACAGTAGTAGAGAAACTGTGCAGTATAAGCTGCCTTTACAGCAAATGTGCTTCTTGTAATGGGATGATGTATATAAAACAAATTCTCTGCATGATGTTCGGCAACGTTTTGTTTAACAGTGAGAAGTGTATTAATTTTTGCAATATATGAGATGTGCATTATAGGTGGAGACGCCTACCAGGCCAGCTGCTGCTGCTTTTATGAAGTGCCGCCACTTGGCACACAAAAGTGAACATTGGTGGTAGGGAAATGAGATATTGAGGTATTAATTATAATGCTCAATATCCCCCCTTTTGATTAAAATATGTTAAAAATACTTGATTCTGATCTTCTTTTAAAGAGCACCAGTATGGAGGATAGTTGTAACACTGGTCTCAGAAAAAAGCTTTCATTACCCCACAGTAATAAAAGCAGGAAGTGTAGGAAGCACACAGGTGTGCGTAATAAAATTAACAATGGCTGACTGGGACACTTGAGTAGAACAGATTGTTCATGTTAATAGTAACACCTGTGTTTTATCTACTACAACAAGTCAAAATGTCTGATGTGGAAAAAGTCTGTTGGTTGATTTTCCTCTGGTCTTAAATAAAAAAAAGGGGGAGTTCTTTTGTTGCACAAGCTGCAGTATTTGGATGTGGTGCCAGTTAAGCTTCTTTAGGAGACTGTGGAAAAGGTAACTTGTATTGTGTTTACTAAAAGTATTTTAACATCAAAATCCTAGACATTCTGTGAACACTTACAGTAGAGCAGCCACTATTTTTCTACACTTCTTCATAGGCATTTTGACTTGGCAGCAGAAAATGTTCAGCTGGAACTAATCATGTTAACAACAGCTCCTTTTCATCTGGGGGTCTCAGAAAACTGTGCCAGTAAGCCAGCAGGCACAATACTAGAACTACTGCTGGTCCATCTACACTGAAAATCAGAAGTATTGATGCAACAATAGCATTGAGTTGTTTGTGTTCACTTCAATACTGTTTTAAGTCCAAGGTTCACTTTAAGCTCCTTAGAAAAAAAGCATCACTCTAAACGCTGCATTTGTCTTCATCAACAAGCTACCTTTTGGCTTTTCTTTAGTGTGCATATAGTCAGAGGGTTTTAGAGCTTTTTTTGATGAAAAGTACTTTTCTTCTGCAGCCTTAAACAAGGCTGTGCAAGCACGGAGAATGAACTGAAAGGTTAAAAGTTGTGGCCACACAAGAGAAATGGTGAACTGAGCTGCAACTGTGGTTTCAAAATAAGGAGTGACCCCTTGAACATACAAGCACCCATTGATTGAGAAATATTGATTCTATTAGCAGTGTCATACAAATTTGTATATAAATATATATCTACAGTAGCTACATCCCCTGGTTCTGATGCTATGTAGTAAGGGAAGAAAAGGTTTACGTTTATTCCATGCAGAGGACGACCTCAAGCACACCCATTGTAATGTCCTTTGCAAGCTACTGCATCAGGTGAGAGTCATGTTCATATTTAACCACCAGAGAGTGCTGTCTTTCCAACCTCTGCATTCTGTAAAGCAGTTCCTTTAGCTGTTTGACTGGCCTTGTGGACCATACCTAATCAAAAAGTGAGGAGCAGAAAATGAAACCTTTAAAACTAAGAAAAGGCCAATTGAAATAGTTTTTGTTTGTGGCTGAAGGTTTTGCAAATATCTCAAACATTCATGAATCTAAATTACATTCTGTGTGGCTCATGAATCGTAATGGCTGTTTTAAACAACACCTGCTTGCTTGGAATGAAGTACATCTGTGCATAACACTCCCAGGGTCACTGACACGCAGTATATCTAAATATATTCAGTATATCTAGATTGGTGTGTGTCACAGCTACACATTTATTCAAACATAAAGTAGTTCTACATCACTTCCCTACAAAGCCTCGCACTGATGCCAACAAACATACAAAGTTATTTCCTCAGCAGATGGTAGAAGGCATCCATTGCTTCCTCAAACAGCAACTGGGTGGCTGGTTTGTTTATTTATTATCAGCTCTGTCTTGCGAGCATTAATCACCTGCATCTCCCTGCCTTCTGGCTCATGTGCCACAGCAGCCCACATTGCAGCCGACAAATACTGAAGCTTCTAATACAAGACGGATTAGCTTGAGTAATAAAATAATGAATGTGAGACGATGGAGTTGGGTGGGCAGTTTCAGTATGGAAATTAGCTGAGATTTGATCATGTCCCATATTTTCATTAAGCATGAGCCTGAAGAGTTCCTAAAGTCAACTTGGATCAATGCTTAAGCAATGTTTCATGAAGGAAAACTCAATTATTGCTCCCAAGGATAAACCAGACTTGTGGAGGTCCACAATGTTTTTTCTAAGGTCTTGGCTGATTTGTTTTGATTTTTCCATGATGTCAAAAAAGAGGTACTGAATTTGAAGGTAAGCCTTAAACTACATCCACAGGTGCACCTCCTGTTGACCCAGATGATGTCAGTATCAGAAGCTTCCAAAGCCATGACACCATTTTTTGGAATTTTCCAAGCCTTTTACAGGCACAGTCGACTGAGCATATGTAAAGTTCTGGCCCACTTTAATTGTGATATAGTGAATTATAAGTAAAATTATCTGTAAACAACTGTCGAAAATATTACCTGCATCATGCATAAAGCACATGTCCTAACTGACTTGAAAAACAAGAGCTGGCTCATATGACATCTGTGGAGTGGTCACATCAATGACTTCAACCTAAGTCTATGTAAACGTCTGACTTCAACTGTACCTCTCTCACATTTGTACACTAAATATGAAGCTAAGAGCAGTTAGTGGTGGTGGGGGGGGTCATAATTACCGAGTAGAAAATATCAACCAAACAGCAGGAAAAAAAAAAACAAAAGAAGCTTTATGTCCAAATGGAGAATTGATTGCCTCAGAGAGACGGAGTCGATCAATTTTCATCTGCAGTATAAACTTACTCCTGCTTCTTTGGAGGCATCCTTTCATTGTTAGAGAAGCCGTTTATTAATTCGAGCAGCAGGGATGAACTTATGTTGGAGGAGGAGGGCAAGTGAGTTTTTTAGTTTCTCACAACTCCCAAAGCAATGTACAGGGAATAAATAAATAAATAATTGTTTTTATGTGGGAGATCCAAGGCTGTGAAAAAGCCATTGCTGAGTTCACCGAGTGCAGCAGCCAATATTGAACTACGATAAACCTGGGATGACACTGGATGCGGTAGTACAGTTATTCAAGTACTATTCATAAGCAACAATTTTGAGGTATCTGTACTTGAGTGTTTTCATGTCCTGCTACTTCATACTTTGATTTCACTAACATTTCTGAGACAAATATTGTACATTTTAGTCCACTACATTTATCTGATAACTTTAGTTGCTTGGTGTTTTAATGTTGTTCTGGTTCTCTAGTAGTGTTTAGTTTTCACAAAACTGTTGAGAGCAGCTTTATCTGAAGACGGCGCCAGCAAAGTAGAGCGGCCACCGAAGATGTCAGTGAGCCTCAGTGGCTGTAAATACTGAAAAAGAGACCATCCAGCACTGACGGGGATAAATGAGAGATTTCATTACTAACACTGTTTGGAACTGTTGAGCCAAAGTGGATCTGGAGACTTCTCAAAACAGATCCTCACCTGTCTGCCTTGGAAAGTCAGTGTTTCGTTATAATGCTTGTTTTTCTAGCATTTATAGAAATATGTCCTTCACTGTAAAGTTTACAGTGCATTTGGTTTGTTGTATTGATAGTGTTTGCTGTTGTGCTGGGCTGTTGGAGAGAAATGTTTAATTTTTAAGATGTAGTATAAATGAAGTGATTTAATGTACAATATGATGTGTGGGGGGAGGCTTGACTTAACAGTTTTACTGCTTGTTGTCACGGCGGAAAATGGCCGACAGACATACTAGCTAACTCCAGGGGCTAAATCACCACACTGGGAAGGTGAGCCAGCATAAGTAAGACCAGACCCTGAAACTGAAGCAGCTTTAACAGATTCAGCCATTCTATATTTATTATTTAAGCCACATCTGTGCTTTCTCTACTGTGACGTGCCAAAATGTCTACCTGGAAAAAAAAACTATTAATTAAAAAAATGAAGTGTTTTCTCCTGTTAATAGAGTCTTAAGAGTCTTTTAGGAATTGGTCTTATTGTAAGGATGTTTAACTGGGGAATGGAATAAGATCAAGCAAGCAAATACTTACACAGCACACGCTTTGTGGTAGGAGAGCTGCTCTGACTGAGCCTACTGCTGAGGTGAGCATTTATGCTGTGTGATGTGTAATGTCAGCGGGTATTTCCAGGCAGCAGATGGTGACCGTTTGCCCACTTAATTTCAGCACACACACACATTCTCTCACTCTCTCTCTCTCTCTGTCATACATACATGCACACCTCACATCATACATACTTCAATCCAGTGTGGAGAAAACAAACAAATTGTTATACTTCTCATTTCTACACCACCGTCTCTGACAACAGCAGGTGCTACATACCACCTTCACACATACACAAACATAAACACATACATGCACATCTCCCAGTGACAGCAGACTTGCCTGTATTGACCATGACATCAGTCCTGTTTCCCACAGATGAGAAGGCGGATGACACATTGAAAGAACTTCCTCACTGTCTCATCCATCATTTCAGCCTGTTTGTCATCTTGCTTTTCAATCTATCTACTTAAAGAGGAGAGAAAGCATTTAGGCCGGTCATGACCATCTAGTCACCTGGGGGGCTTAGGCAACACACAGCTGGGGCTCCACTCTTACAGACAGGAAGAGCACCATTTGTTTGGCTTGAAGTAATACAAAGTGACATTTGCTTGACCTTGTATTTGTGAATATAAAGGCAGCAGATCTTTTCTTCCATATAAATGGTGAATGGTATTAGCACTGATTGAGGCTGGGAGAAGGCCAGAATGTAATCATGGAGGGATTTGTCTAAGCTCCACTACAATCGGTCTCGGCTAATGGTGTGGGAATTTTGGATTTTGAGTGTATTCATCATGCCAGTATGTTTTGCAATTACAAGCAGAGGCAGGTAAAAGTGCAACATACAGTATATGAGTGAGGCAGAATGGTTTAGACTGTTACACCAGATGTTAAACTTATTTATTTCACATCACTATTTG